TTTCATAGTTTACAACTTAAACTCCCTGTTAGCAAATAAGTTTTGTTATCCTAACGACGTAGTGTTTAGGCTTAACACCATAAACTCTTTGATTTCCTAACAATTCCTTTCTTTTCCATATCTTCAATTTCTTGACGCAGAAAATTTTGGTTATCTGGACTGCATCTATATGCCGTTTGTGCAATTGGTATATCCTTTTCTAGGATTATTGAATGTTTAATGATGGCTGTTCGTTCTGTATCTGTTTGGCTTTCAGCACATAAATCACTATTCTCTTCAAGAACCTGTTGAAAATTATTCTGTTGATGAGCATTCAATGGTTCAACTTGTAATTTAGGGTTTTCTTACTTTTTCTTTAGTAGGTTGGCTAAATATATGCTTGGATATTTATTTTTATACATTCTTGTATAAATTTCTTCTAGAATTCTGTCTGCATATTTGGTGTGAGTAGGGTCGTTTCTCCTTGTTCTGCTATATCTGCATATTCTTCAAAACAAAATGGCCACCATTTCCCTTGCTTTTCTGGTTCAGTTTGTTCAAAGATCCAATTTGATGCAATTCTAGTAATATATACATCACAGTCATAAAAGTCATCATTAAAAAAATACTCCACATCTTCAGACTTAATTGGAATGCCTGTTTCTTCATGTGTTTCCCTTAATACTGCTTGAAGTGACATTTTATTGGGTTCTACTTTCCGCTTGATACTTGCCATATTTTATACATTTATTTTCGCGGATTAATTATTTGTGACATCATAATATCTTATTGATCATACATAATATTCATTACATATTTTGGTTGAACATTATTTTCAACTTCACTTAAAAATATATCATATTCATTCAAGTCCTCTTCCTCATATTAATCCAAGACTTGATCTAAATTTTCTCTTTCATCTACCATTTCTTCTTCAAAGAAAATGTTAAATGTAGCTCTTTTAGTAACATATGAGATAGAAGCAGTTTGTGTACTAAAATCAAGGTTCATTTTAGTCTTTTTACACCAATCTATTCCTAATAACAATGTATCCTGTGGAAATTCAATTACTTGAAGTTCTACTGGAACTGATACGTATTGTATAATTATTTTTGCTTTAGTAATTTGTTCTAAAGCTCTTACATGACTTCCATTTGCTGTAGTCATAATCAATTTAGAAGGTTTATCAATATTAAGTTCTAACTTTTTAGCCAGTTTATTGGTAATAATACTGATGGCTGCTCCTGTATCAATTATAGCTTCAATTGGATTATTTTTAATCCTGATATATGCTTTACAAGAAGTTGTTTTCCTTTCCTGTTCATCATCTACAAATTCTAAAGAATTGATACTAGGTGTCAATACAAGATGACGTCTTAAAGCATTTGTTAAATTCCTTCTTTAGGCGGGTATTTGTAACCACTATCCTAGAGTTGCAAAAGATTGTTTTGATAAAATATCATCAGCTATATTACATGATGCAAGGTTATCAACTCTAGAAGGATTTTGTGCTCTTTTAACTGGTTTTTGTTTAGAGGTAGATTCTACTTCCATTTTGATTAGGTTAATGACACGAGTTCTAAGATTCATTTCTTTATTTGATTCAGAGGTTCTGGTCATTTCCCTTTGTCGTGTTCTTGCATTCTTTCTGTTAGTGGTATATGGACAAGACCTTTCTCCTGCATATACTTCAAATGTTTCTTCTTCCCCTTCGTCATCAGTAAAAACTTTAATTAGATTGGCATCTCTTTGCTTTGATTTAGAAGATCTTTCAGATAAATATTCTCTAGAATAATGGCCTTTTTCCTCACATTGCTAACAAACTATTTGGCTTTTGTCAAAAGGTTTTCTATCATTATTATTTTATGTGACATTCGTATTTTTAAGTGGAACATTCATAGTTCTTGGGATTCCATTCTGTGCTGCTAATACATTAACAATATTTGCATAGTTGAGAGAGAGTTATTTGTTTCGTCAAAGCCTCAATTGGTAGCTTGTGGAGATTCTCTTATGTAGTATATTCTAGCTTCAGTTGCTCTGGCTTTATTAATAGCTGCTCTTAGATTACCAGGGTCCGCTATTGTGACTCTTACTGCAATGTTAGGTTTTAATCCATTCAAAAATAGTCTAATTTCATAGTCATCTAGTAAATGATCACTTGGGTCAACTAATCTTTTAAGATTATTAAATCTAGCATTATAAGTATCTACACTTTCATTTGTCATTTGTTTAATATTAGATAACTCATAATGCCATTTATTCTTTTGCCTAGCTATAGTAAAGCAAGCTCTAAACATAGAGACAAAGCTTGTATTGGCTTGACCTTGCATATTCCAATAATGAATATTTGTTACTATATTATTATACCATAATGCTGCTGGTCCTCTTAGATATCCTGCAATAATGCTACGTTTTCTTTCAGGTGTCCAATTATTCACTGTTGCAGCTGTTACAAAATGCTTAAGCCATTCCTCAAGGTTTTCACTATCATTTTTCCAAAATGGTTGTACTGGTATAATATTAGTTTCTCTTGAAAATGCTTGTGGTCAAGCGTCTCTAATTTCTTTAGCAATTCCTTTAAAAGAGTCACTCATTTGTCTAATAATTGCTATGATACCATTATTGCCTAATGCTTCATTATCCTTAAATCCATAGTCTTTATTTTTGTCTCTCTATTCATCCTTAGAACCACTATGTTATTCTTGATTAGGTGGTCTTGATCCGCCTTGTTGATTATTACTTTATCTTCTCCTATCATGATGTCAATTGATGTTAGTATAGGGCTTATTACTAAAGATGCTATTGAATCAAATTGGATTTTAACTGGTTCTTTAAAGAAGTTCAATTCTCTTGCTGCTTTAATTATATTTGAAGTTATGAATTCTGAATTTGATCCAAGTACTTTAGGGTTGATAAAAGTTAAGCTATATAATAAATATTCAACTCTAATTTGCAGTGGTTTTCAATATACTGTTATAGTTGTATCAAGTTGTAGTTGTTCAAGAAAAATTAGAATGGCAAGTTTTTCTGACAGTTGGTTAAATAGTGATATAGTTTTTTCAGTGAAATGATTGCTCCAAACTCCACACTAATCTAATTCCAAAAATTCCTAAAATTTCTAGAGATATCTTCCGGTATTGAGTGACAACTTAAACAGGTATAGTCAGTTGATAAGGTCATTTGTCCTTTGTTATATTGTTTGATATGTGCTTCTTGAAGTTTGTAATATAAATCCAAATTCATTCACAATTTAACTTTCAAAAGTCTTTCTCCTGATAGGAATCACCAAACTGTTAGATCTGGAATCGTTTCAAAATAAGTTAACAAAACTAAACAACTTAATAACACAATTATCTCAAAGTCTTTTCTAAGAGAAATTAACAATAAACAAATAAAACAATTTATTATCATAGTAGGTTATCACGATCAATCCTATGATGAAGACAAGAAGAAGGTTAAAAGTATAAAATAGTAACTTTATTAAACTGTAGAGTTATAAGTCTAGTCCTAAGACTTATTCAGAAAACTATCTGATTGAACTCTGTTAACTCAAAGTCAACTTACAGGTCTATTTATATAAAATTGTTAACTAATACTATATTACGTCTTTCAATAAGTATATTGTTAACGTTACTCTTTCTGTCGAATAAGTTAATTATGATTTAAAGTCAGTGAGACAATAGCTATGATTTAAATCCAATCAACTTGATATGCTGTTTATTAAAGAGTTTATTTAGTTAACAAGAATAAAATTATAAGTTTTAGATTTGCAAAATGTTAAGATTGTTTATTATTGTTCTTCAATGTATATTCCCCAGTCAAAAGTATTAGATCACGTGATTTTCAATACTCAAATTGATGTAATTCTATCGATCATAACTTTTGATAAAATGCATAAAAATGAACCAAATTTTTTTTCTACATAGTTAAAAGCTTTAATATTTGAATATAAATATATTTTTTAGTGCTAAAAATCTAAGAACTTATTAAATTTGAATAAGGTGAAAAAATTAGCCTCTGAAAAGGTGTCTACAGCAAACGAAATATTATAAATATTCTTGTCCATTCTATCTCATTTTTTATTGTTTCAAAATGATGTTTATTATTGAATTTAGTGTTGTCTTCATGAAATTTATAATATAAATTATTTAATTTCCACTGTAAATTCAGGAAAATAAGATATAATAATAAAGAGTTATTTTATGAAAAATAATGTTGAAGTTTTAATTCAAGTTTCTGGTAAATTGTAGGTTTAAAAAAATAATCTTTTGCC